TTTTATAATTTTTTATCTAAATTAATCATAAAAAACATATTTGTCATACTCTTAATAAATCCCCTTAATACACCCTATATAAAATTACAAATTGTGAAATCAAAATTTTTTATTAACAGACGCACCCGCATCTCGGCCGTTGGATGCTTATTATTACTCATTCCTTTTGAAATAGTAGCTTTTGTCCTTTTCTTTTTCTTTTTATGTTGACTCAAAGGAGTCTCCTTTCTCAGGTCCTTCATCAATAACTGTTCTGTTTCAATCTCCTTGCTCAATCCTTGTCTGCAAAAATGGCAGAAGCACTTGTTTCTACAATCTTAGAGCAGATAACAACAATCATCTGTGAAGGAGCCCTAGAGGAAGTGAGACTACTGAGGGGTGTTAAGGAAGATCTGAGAAACCTCAGAGACGACCTCACATCCATCAGAGCTTTACTTAAAGATGCTGAGGAGAAGCAAATATCAGATGAACCTGTCAAGTTATGGCTAGATCGGCTCAAAGAAGAATCTCTTGACATGGAGGAAGCTTTGGATGAATGGAGGACTGTACTCCTGTATCGGCGAACTGATGGAGCTGAGGAAAATGCTTCTTTTCTTCAGAGGAAGGTACGTGTTTTCCTCAGATGTTTTTCTTTTCATCCTGTTAGATACCATGGCAGTGCTCGCAACATAAAGGAAATCAATGGAAGGTTACATAAGATTGCTGCGGATAAAGCTAACTATCAGTTAACAAGCATGCCAATCAGTAAACTGCCAAGACAAGCAGAAAGCAAGTCCTTTATTGATGAGTCGAGCTTGCTTGGTCGAGATGATGTCAAGAATGAAATAATTAGCCATTTGTTGTGTGAGACTAGCAAAGAAGAAGAGGGTAGCCCAATCCAAACAATCTCTGTAGTAGGGATTGGAGGTATCGGTAAGACTGCTCTTGCCCAACTAATCTACAATGATGAAAATGTTAAACAACATTTCACTTGTAGAGTCTGGACTTGTGTTTCAGACATTTTTGATGAGAGCAAAGTTGCAAAATCAATAATTGTGGGGCTTCAAGGCCTAGATAAACTAGCAATCCTCCAGTTGGAGTCAGTTCCATTAGGTGCTCTTTTAGAAAAAATTTGCAAGTCCATAGAGGGAAAGAAGTACCTTCTTGTTCTAGATGATGTATGGACAGAAAAAGATAGAGACTTTGAAGGCCTGAATGCTACTTTCAAATGTGGTGCTCCGGGAAGTAGGATTTTGGTGACTACACGTAAGAGTACTGTGGCAACCATTATGGGAAGTTCACACACCATTCAGTTAAATAATTTGAGCCGAGAGATATGTTGGTCTATCATTAGGAATATAGCACTAAGAGAAAAGGACCAAAGGACTCGTGAGGAGTTCATGCCAGTTGGTTTGAAAATTGCAGAGAAGTGCAAAGGTCTGCCGCTTGTTGCAAAGACTTTGGGAGGCCTCTTGCGGTTTAAAACTGGTATACAAGGGTGGGAGCATGTTTTGAATAATGAGCTATGGAGAATGGAAATTGTACATAAAGATGTTTATGTTCCTTTGTTGCTGAGTTATTATGATCTGCCCTCACCAGTAAGGCAGTGCTTTACATATTTAGCTCACCATACTAAAGACATGCATTTTTCTTCTTGTGATATGATTTCACATTGGATGGCACAAGGTTACTTAGGCTTTGATGATGATGATTCACCATTGGAACTAAAAGGCTTTGAGTACTTTCAGTGCTTAGAGGCTTGCTGTTTCTTCCAAGATTTTGTGGATCATGGTGAAGGTCTTGAGTGTAAGATACATGATTTGGTACATGACTTTGCGTTCTTTTTGACAAGGGGTGAGTTTATGACATTGGAGATCTTCAAAGGTAATGAAAGTTCAACGATGAATAGAGAAAGAACTCTTCGACATTTGACAGTGGGGGTAGAAAAGGGTCTCTGTTTTCCTGAATTCATTCCTAATGCAGAAAAATTGCGAAGTGTTGTGGTTTATAGTAATATTAGTGATGATTGTGCTGCTATCAGTGAAAAGGCCATGTGTAATTTGTTTAATCAAGCTACACGCTTAAGGCTAGTGGATATGGATGGATATGGTGGTTCAACTATTCCAGAAGAAATAAGAAACTTATTGCATTTGAGATACCTTAACTTGGGTGTTAGCAGAAACCTTGAAAAGTTGCCAAAAGCACTCTTTAGATTGCACAATTTGGAACAGTTATATTTGAATGACTGTTATAATCTTGAAAGACTGCCCGATGAGATAGGAAATTTAGTCAACTTGAAGCTTCTTCATACCGAAGGTTGTAACAAATTAACTTGCTACCCAAAGGAAGTTGTGAGATTAACTCGACTTACACAATTATTGGGGCTCATTGTGAGAATTGATCGTGACGATCCTGAAGAGTTTAGCATTGGAGATCTAGCAAACTTGAAGAAACTGTTAGGTTCTCTTTGTATTTTGATGATGTTTTAAAACCATGATTCAAAAGTATTTAATCTATTTTTGTGCTAAGTGTGCAGGAAAATTAATCCAAGGTTTCTAATCTTTCCCCACGATTAGAATTAATTCATATTCCTCCTTGTTCAGAGTTCTAGGTTCGAATCAATTTATTTTGGTTTGAATCAATCTCGGACTTTTGTTTTCCGAAAATGGTTCGAAGCAATATTTCTGGCTTCGAACCAAAAATTCTGGAAAGTTAATTTTGACAGTTCAACTATCTGT